CTGTATAACCTGTAGTGCAACCCCTTCCTGTGACATATGTCTTTACCTGTAATTAGTGGGCTTGCACTCCCCCAAAGGTATATAGGCCTGGGTTAGCAATAGAGCACTCTTTCTCTCTCTTTCTTTCTCTCTCTCTCTGGCTCCCCTCTTGGCCCCTCATAGGTGCCCCCTCTCCTCTCCTGTCCCCTTTCCCCTTGTGCTCCTTCCCCTCCTCCTCTCTCCACCTGGACCACCAAGCAGGGCTGAGGTGAGCACGCTACCATGAAATGTGTCTGACTCCATTATTTCAATCTCTCTTCTATCTCTCATGCTCTCTATGACTTTACTATAATCTTTAGATATATTAACTGTACAATTGCACTTATCGAACCCACGATTAGTTGTGGGGGCTGGCCTCCCCCCACATACATGTACTAATCCTGTAAAGTTATACAATTATATACATACATAATTATATATTTATATTAAATTTGTGTGCACCCACGAGTGCATATTTCTTGACATCACCTCAAAAACAATTCTTGAATAGTCTAACAAAACTCTGGTAAGTATATTCCTCCACTAACACAAGAAATATCTTAACTTCACAAAGATAGTATACATTAAAGCATTAATTAGACACGTAATGTTGCAGTTTCACTTCTATATAAGGACAATACATATGATAATGTAAATTACTATTTCTTTCAACACTTTGAATCAGTTGGTTATGTTAACTCAATGGACGAAGAGAATGTGCCATGATGCTCACCTTCCCAACAGGATTGCCAAAGACAAAGCGGGTGCATAAGCAAATGTGGTGAAGAAAGCTGTCAAAAGACACAGCGTCTGGGGTCCTAAGGGCTTGAAGATAAGCAAGCCGGCCATCAGCTGAGAAGCAACAAAGCCCACATGGAAGAAGAACAGCAGCCTGTGTGATCAGGAGGTGTCTATAGGATCAGGTGTCAGGTATCAAACAAAAAATCATATCACTGTGAATGAGGGGGAGTGCAGGGCGGAGACCCAAAGCCCATCTGTAGGCAACTGGACATCTCCACAGAAGGGTTGTGGAGAGGAGAGGAGCGGGTCAGGGTGCTGCACTGATGAAACATCCAGCTTTCCTCTAGTTCTTCAGTGCTTCCTCTCCACCACTATCATGATCCCAATTCTACCTTACAAATCCGGCTAGACCAGAGGATGCACACTAGTACAGATAGGAGCTGGAAACGCAAGAATCCAGGACAGATGAACCTCTCAGGACCAATAATGAAAGTAGTGATACCAGGAGGGGAAGGGGACGGTGGAGGAGTAGAAAGGGGGAACTGATCACAAGGATCTACATATAACTTCCTCCCTGGGGGATGGACAACAGAAAAGTGGGTGAAGGGAGATAATAATAATTTGTAAATTATTAAAGGTTTGTGAGGGAGGGAAGGTAGGTGGGAGAGAGGGGGAAAAATGAGCTGATAGCAAGGGCTCAAGTGGAGGGAGGATGTTTTGAGAATAATGATGGCAACAAAAGTACAACAGTACTTGACACAATGGATGGATGGATGGATTGTGATGAGTTATACAAGCCACCAATAAAATGATTTAGAAAAAAAAAAGAAAGAATAGAATGTGATCATTCAAACCATCTGATAAGCACTCAGCTACTGACTCGAAGGCTGGTGGTTTGAACCTACCACATGTTCTGCAGGAGCGGAGATGTGGCCTGCTTCAGTAGAGATTACAGCTTGAAATTCCTATGTGCTTGGTATGAGTAAGAGCAGATTTGACAGTGCAAGTGTTTTTTTTATTTTCACTATTTAAAAAATTTAATAAATCATTTTATTGGGGACTCTTACAGCTCTTATAACAATCCATACATCAACTGTATCAAGCACATTAATACACATGTTGCCATCATCACTTCCAAGACATTTTCTTTCTACTTGCATGTGTTTCTTATACTAACTAAAACACACTCTTTCCCTTTTGTAATTAAAATAATCGTCTCAAGAATATCTTGGGAAACCATAGATCCGACAAGAGTCTTAGAAAAGATATATATATATACACACACACACACATATAAACTTAAACTTCACATACAACCCAATCATAAAATGGGCAAAGACCTTGAATAGACATTTCAACAAAGTGGACATCAAATATCTACCAAACATATGAAAAGGTGCTCAGTGTCATTAGCCATGAGGGCTGGAAGTCAACGGCCATGTGCTACCATCTCACTCTCACTAGGATGGCTGCGAGAGGGGGAAAATCTGATAACAACCAGTGTTGATGAGGGTGTGGGGAATTGGAACCCTTCTCTCTGACTGGTGGGAAAGCAAACTGGTACAGCCCTTGTGGAAACAGCGTGGCATACTTCATTTAACTAAAAATAAAACCACAGTATGCACAGGAATACCACCCCTAATACATACCCAAAGGACTTGAAATGAGATTCAAGAAGACGTGTATCCCAAAGCTCTTTGCACCCTTATTCACAATAGTCACGAAGCGGAAATGACCCAAATGCCTATCAACAGACGACTGCGCGAGCAGAACACAGTATTACTAGGACATCCTGAGCGCTAAGTAGGGTCAGCGAAAATGAGAAAGACCCTCAATGAGATGGATTGACACAGTGGCTGTAACAATGGGCTCAAATATAGCACTGGCTGTGAAGATGGCCCTAACCTGTCACCTGTCACCTCTCTCTCTCTCTCTCTCTCTCTCTCACACACACACACACACACACACACACACACACCCCAACTCAACAGCACCTAACAACAAAGAACTTGTGGCTCATTACCTCCATGAACAACTGCCTAGTTTGTCAGGAGACCAGAAGAACAAGATCATGTCTGGCTACTATTATGTAATACTTTGATCAAAGATGTTACAGAACTTCTTAAACTGCCAGTCACAACCCTACAATGGGGTCAAGTAAATGCTGGGAAAATTTTGACAACCATAAAACCAACCACGCAAAGTAATTAAAAATCAAACGGTAATAAATGAGGTGTTTCTAGCAGTGCTTTCCCCTGTTGCAAATTTCTCGGGCAAAGAGGAGTCGCCAGTGGAAAAGGTTTCAAAAGCCCTGCTATATAAGAAAGCTGACTAACAGAGGGGAAATGCAAAATACAATTTCCCATTTGCATGGCTCTTAGACTTTCTGTAACCATGGAGGGTGGATGAACCCCTAAAACTATTGCTCTGACATCACCTTTAAACCTTAAGCCAGAAATATCCCTGATACCTTCTTGAAACCAAGTAACAGTATAGACTAACTAGCAAAACTGTTTTTTCTGCGTATTATGCTGTCCCTGAGCAATCAAATTGACAGCAGCAACTGAAAAGATTAGACAGCTGCCGCACAAGACTGGGAGTCTGTTAGTGAGGGTAGAACGGCTACACAACAGAAATCATGCAAGGTAGCAAATTATTTAATATGACATAGTCTCCGTCAACCCCACCAAGTGACCTGTTCCTGATGGGTCTCGGTAAAAGAAGGTGGGGGAAAAGACGGAATGATTTGCCATCCTGTTAGATAGAGAGCACTAGTGACATAGGGCTTATGTGTTGGACCACTAGTCATAAGCCAGCAGTTTGAAACAACGGCAGCTCCAAGGAGAAAGAAGAGCCTTTCTAGTCCAATGAAGAGCCAGTCAGGGTGCCATGTAGCAACGATGAAAAATACAACTTTTCTCTAGTTCCTAAATGCTTCCTCCCCTCTCCCCATCCCCCACCATCAAGATCCCAATTCTACCTTGAAAGTCTGGCTAGACCAGAGGATGTACACTGGTACAGATAGGAACTGGAAACACAGGGAATCCAGGGCAGATGATCCCTTCAGGACCAATGGTGTGAACGGCGATACTGGGAGCGTAGAGGAAGAGTGGGTTGGAAAGGGGGAACCGATTACAAGGATCTACATGTGACCTCCTCCCTAGGGGACGGACAAAAGAAAAGTGGGTGAAGGGAGACGTCGGACAGGGCAAGATATAACAAAATAATAATTTATAGATTAGCAAGGGTTCATGAGGGAGGGGGAAAAATGAGGAGTTGATGCCAGGGGCTTAAGAGCAAATGTTTTGAGAATGATGAGGGCAATGAATGTACAAATGTGCTTTACACAACTGATGTATGTATGGATTGTGATAAGAGTTGTATGAGACCCTAATAAAACGATTAAAAAAAAAAAAGAGTTATTCTTGGGAAGCCACCGGGACAGCTCTACTGTGCCCTACAGGGTCGCTATGAGTAGACGTTGACTCAATGGCAGTGAGAGGTATAAAATGAGCCATCTCAGAAGTAGGAGAAAGGAAGCTATCTTCTGGATCTGGGGCTCCTCGCACAGTGAACTCTGACATCAGAGGAGTGACAGAGGAGCAGCAGCAGCAGAGCAAGCGCCAGAGTCTGAAACAGAGCGGTGGACTTCCCACCCCACAGAGCACGGAAAACTGAGCTCTTTGGGGCAGGAGGCTGGCTTGTGGACTAGTGTGCCTCTGCGCACTTAATTCCAGGAGCTAGGTTAGCTGATCCACGGAACCGGAGCTCGGTGCCTTCCCAGTAACACTCAGTGGAGGGCATGCCCCTTATCGGCAGCATTGGAGGAAACTTTACAGCATGGCCTGACTGAACGACTGCATTCAAAGTGATTGCCACTCGCATTGTAAGCTGTTGACCACCACAATAACCCCCATAATCATAAGCATCTTTGGGAGTTCTGTGTGGCCACTGAAATGAATTGTAAAACCCAGCAGAAAAGCTGAGTGCACGAAAAGCCGAGTATTGTGTGGAAGATTTTGGCGACTTCAGTCATTTTTAACAACTCGAGATGTGATGGGGTAAAGCAAAGAAAGCAATTAGGTACCCTTACTTTCATATAACACAGTTTGACAACAAGATGATCCAAAACATGACTTTCAAAACTCAAACCAAAGCAGCTGTTTATTAAATCTTTGAAAAAAAGAAAAATTTCTCTCCTCAAATACCTAAAATAAAAAAACAGAAAAGAAACAACTTACAAAAGCAGCATGTTTTCCTCGAAATCCTCTTGTACACTGCTGTCTCCACGGCTTCCAAATAACAAAACCCAAGAGGTATAAAACAAACATGGATGTTTTTGCAAAGGTGCTGAAGAATGGTTTGTTGTACTGAGTGAAAACATACTGCGGAAGGAAAAATGACATAAGACAGCGATGAAATGACCTTAAACCTTTCCAAGAAAAATAAGGGTGTTACATGATTTACTTTAACTCCTTAGAAGCTCATTTAAAAATGCAAGATCAAAAGGGACTGTGAAGAGGCACTTCTGAACAGTGTTATTTGCCTTGCAGTCAAAGGGCAGTGTCTTAAACAAACAGCAATGACCTGCAAAAAAGGTTCTGGTCAGCAGGCAGTGAAATCTGACTTAGCTGTGGGACCTGTGTGGGGAACTAAACAGTAAGATGGGCATTCCTGTCCGTCAGGCGTTTAAAGTCTAGCAGAGGAGATACAGACGATGAGAGTGCAGTGCCACGGGATACGCAGTAACATAAAGGAGAGTACATGTCATGAAAGCGCAAAGGTTGGCAGATCACTTTGAAGATTACTGAGAACGTTTTCCAAGAGGCACTTCTTGCACTGTGTCCATAGGCTGAAGAAGAACTGATGGAAAACAAAACAAGCAGCAACATGGCCCTTGAGTCACTCCAACCCACAGCAGCCCTACAGGCAGAGCTGAACTGCTCTATAAGATTCCCAGCGCAGGGTCTTCGCAGAAGCAAACCGCCATCTCTTTTTCCCAAGGAACAGCTGGGGGCGTTAAACAGCTGCTGACCTTGATTTACCAGCTTAGCACTGTACCACGTGGCCTCAAGCCCAAGAAGAGGAAATAAAAAACATTACCAAGGCAACCAAATCACAAAAGAGGTTATCCTAGTCTATGAAAATTATAGTTTCAGGTTATTAGTAAGTTAAAGAAAAATCTATAATCATAATATAAATTTGAGAAGTCAGTATAAACTCGTGTTTTTTTAAAGGGGGGGTCTTCTTAAAAAAAGAACCAACCACCCTAATTATGTGCACTAACACGGCATATAAAAAAAAACAAACCCAACAATCCAAGAATATCGAGGACTTCTAACACCTGCATGGGAGCTCCTAAATTGTGCAAATGGGGTTGCCATTACATTGGGATTAGTACACGAGCAGCTGGTTTGGTCTTTGTATAGGAATTATTAAGGAAAGAGCATAACATAGTTGTACAAATAGAAGGAAAAACCATCTTCTGAGTCCAAAATAGGTCATTTACTATCAATATGTCATCAACCAAAGCAAAATGTAACTAAAGGGCAATCACTGTGCAATGTGTGTTTCAAAATAACATCATAGTCAGCACACACATATATGCAAATGCACTCATCCTCGGGCCAGACAGTAACCTGTATGTGAGAACTCGGACCACATCACTCATTTTCATTTCCTAAACTGTCGTGTTTTCTACCACATGGTGGCAACTTGTTGTGTATCCTGGATGGTCACTCCACTAGAAAATAACATTTATAAATATTTTAAAATTGGGTTTTAAAAAGAAACCACAGAAATCCCTTCAACTATTAGGAAGATATAGACATAGTCTTTATTTCTAATTACTCTTCCTAAAAGGCGCACTGAAACTGCATGAACCAACCCAGAATACACTTTTGCAGGTTCAATGTGAAATAACAGTAAATCTCAAAGAAAGCATACATGGTCCTGCTTTTGTAAGTCCAGACACATAGTAATGGCTAGCGATACTAAGGTTAGCAGTGATAGTATACATCATTCCCAGAAAAGAACTACATACCGAAGTCAGTTCAGAAGAAGCCACCCATATCACATCAACAAGTAGGAGAATAACAATCCCAAGAGCCATTCGCTTGCGCTGAGTGAAACCACTGCTCTGAGAATTCATCCGGTTCATGATAAATACACACACCATTTGCACTCTGGTTTTCAGAAAATACAAATCACGTTAGAGGTGGTTTGGGGAAAACATCCTTATTAAAAAATGAGACAGTAAGCGCGACAGAAACAAATGGCATTTATTACGAGCCCCACCTAGGAAACTGAAAGGCGTAGGGCTTACCTGATTCTAAGGGCTTTTCTGAGGTCTTCTGAAAAGTTGGCAGATCTGAGTCTAAAAGGAGGTGCCCAAGTCAGCACGCCTAGAAATAAATAGCAAAGTGACATCCACAAAAACATCAGGGTTCAGAATGCGATTTATCACATCTATTTTAAATCACACTCAAATATACTAAATATGATTGGATGCCCTTTACAGTCCGCTGCTTATCCACTAGTGTCCGCCTAAGATTAAGCTCAGAAAAGTACTCGCCCAGCGGGGGATGCAACAGTTGAACATGCATATAGTTTCCTGGTGCGAAATAGCGTCTCCGAATTTCACAAGCACAGAACACCCTCATTTACCTCTCTCTACAGGGACACCCACCCCGATGGCAATGTCCCAAAGTGCCTTTTCTGCCCCCGAGGGGCAGAGGGCTTTGGGGACCGGAGGAGGTGATGTGTGGGGGTCTGGAGGGCCCCTTTCTTGCCCATCACTTCGCGTGCTCCAGGAAAGGGCCCCCTGCTCTGCCACCTCCCCGGGCACTACGGGTAGCCGTTCTGGATCGGGGCGGGGAGGCGGCAGCTGGGAAAAGGCTCCTCCTCGGGTCCGGGCCGAACGGAACCGGGAAAAGTAGAGTGTGCCTTGGCTGTCCCACCGGCCGGCGACCCCCGGGGAGGCCACGATCCCACTCACAAGCGGCGTCCCCAAACCCGAGTGGGGACGAGCGCAGGGCGCCCTCCACCCGCACCCCCATTTCGGTCAGGGCCCCCGGGCTGCCCCCTCGGGCCGGGCACTCGGCACCAGCTGCGGCTCCGGGTGACTCGGGCCCTGCCCCTCGGCCTACCTGGCTTTGCTGCCCCGTGCTGGCGTCGTGGCGGCACCATGAGCAGAGCCGGCCCGGCA